GAATCAGCCTTTGTCGTAATGTGTTTTGGGGTTTGAAAGCCACTGGGACATCATGTTTAGAAAACAAACGTCTCAGTTTCTCCGAAACACCCGCAACATACGGAAAACCACTGGTTTGGGTCTGGGTCTCACACCCATGTTTCTGACTCTAATATTGCCCCCCGTACTTCACATACGGGGGGGGGGGGGCAATATTAGAGACCCAGACCCAAACCAGTGGTTTTCCGTATGTTGCGGGTGTTTCGGAGAAACTGAGACGTTTGTTTTCTAAACATGATGTCCCAGTGGCTTTCAAACCCCAAAACACATTACGACAAAGGCTGATTCACCCCAAAGAGAAGAACCTGTCCAGAAGACCTATACAATTTTTTTCTTTTTGTTTTTTTATTTATTACTTATTTCTGTGGCCATTTCGTCTCTATAAGTAAGCGTAGTGCAACATGGCAGAGACGTGTGTTTTATTTTAAACTATTTATACCACAATCACAAGTGATGTCACACAGAATTAGATCAACTTTATGACCCATTTCTTTGTTTTTGCATCATGTGCTGGTCTTATGACAAACTGTCCAGCAGCCTTTAGTGATGTGTTCACCCCTGACCATGAGGCATCTGAAAATGGGTCACAGTCAAAACAAATAAAGTCATTAATCATCATTAATAAGTTGTGCTGATTGTGGGGAGTTAAAAAATTAAAGGCTTTGTGTACAAAGTTCGTCACACAGAAAATGAATCAATGTGTTGAGCTGAATTGAGGTGTGAATTGTGAAATCATCAGAGCAGCACATATCAAAAGATTGCAACATGACTTACACATGRGGGAGCCAGATACGATGCGTCACAACTCTGTTCCACCCTGTTCCTTCAGGTTGAGCTGAAACATCTCTTGATTTTCACTTCAGAAAAAGTCTCAAGCTGTCAAACTAAATTAAATTCACTACAAACCTTTTTTGAATACTACATAGTCCTGTGTTTAGGAAGAACAACTTCTTGTCCAGCTAAGAAAACTTAAACTGAGCACTAGGAGGTAACAATAATTGTAAGTTCAAACTTCAGAGCAAGTCAGACTGGATTTATGTTAATGAACCCAGTAGAAAACTAGAGAATATGCATTCCGTGCATAAAGCTGTGTGGATGCTTAAAACATTTTTGCTGAATAGCTAAAATGATTGGTTAAAAAAAGCTTAAACTAGCTTAAAATACCTAAAAAAGTAGCTGAAATAATAGAAATTAGCACAAAGAAACAGAACAAGCACGTTATCTGAATTACGTTAAGACACTGAAAAAAAATCACAAAAAGTTGAAAATAGCTGAAAAAATTCAAATGAGCTAAAAAATAACCAAAAACACAGAAACAGCTGAAATAATCAGAAAACATCTGAAAAAAGCATAAAAAGCTAAAAAAAAAGGGCAACAAAAGGGAGAAAGAGGGACAAAAATTAAAATTAGCAGAAGAATAGCAGAAAAGGTCCGAATAGTTGCTAAAAAAGCAGAAAAAAAGCTAAAATCAGCTAAACAGAAGTTGAAATAAACTTAAAATATCACAAAAAGGTTGAAAAAGACAGAACCAGAGCATAAGGTAAAAAGTGCAGTAAAGATTTAGAAACATTTTAAAGGGTTTTGGGGATAAGCTAAAAAGCTACATATTTCAAAAAGTATAAATTGCTGAATTACTAAATGCGATAGCAGGGATTCTCAGCAGGAGCTGAATGTTTTGATCCATAAATTGTACAAATAGCACAAAATTGTGGAACAAGATACGTGCTGAAAAACTTGCTGAAGAAAAAGTAATTTGGTTATAAATGACAGATTTGTTGCTACAGAACATATACAGCATGATGTTGTTGACGTTGCCTTCTTATGACAAATCCCTTACCAGAATGATGATCCAAATTATGAAAGTCTGAAAAAAAGAAAAATCACAATATTGACACATTCAGCAGTTGCAATTAATGTTGTAACATAAGGATCATCTAGGCTAAAAGTCACAAGCATAAAACATAAAAACCTGTTGCATTGGTGACTAATAAACAGCACCTGTCGGTCACTCAGTCATAAAAAAATCCCACTGATTTGCCAGACTATGTGAAAACTAGTAAGTTTAATGACTCACTTAATTGCATTAAAACAAAGCTTTCCTTTGTTCCTACAGACGAGAGATGTTTCACACTAGGATTAAAATAAATTCTTAGACAAGAGAGATGACTMTATGATTTGAAACAATTTCATATTGTTGTGCATACAGTAACCGCAATATATAGAATAGCACAACTCTATGCTACTACCACAACAGATTTAGGACAATATTTATAAAACTGACTGAGTTATAGCCATCTCTGTGGCTAATGTTGATTAGCTGTGATGGCCATCTTTAAGTGGTGTGACCATACAGGTTAATCAATTTTAATGATCATGATTATTTTCTGAGAGTTTTYATAACATTGGCCCAGTGGTTCATGAGATTTTGCTAACAGAATGACAGGGTTGACATCGACAGTCAGAAATATTCTGCAATACATTGAGCTTGAGCACGTGTTGCAGATGAAGCTCAGTTACTACCACATCAAAATTTAGTTCAATATCTGTCAAATTGGCAGAGTTATCGCCATTTTTGTATTTGCTAAGATTGGTTTGCTGTGGCCGCCATCTTGAGTGGGGTTGACTCCAAAAGTTAATCAGTTGTAMAAGTACATCTAATGATTATTTTCTGATAATTTCACCAAAATCTGTGAACTGATTCTGAAGATATTTTTCTAACACAGCAAACACCTTAGCATCTGCAAAAAAATGGTCTTTTGCATTTTGTGGAGGACAACGAGACAAGTCGTAAATTAACCTGTTAGAAAAAGACACAAGTTTTCTTCTTATTCTTTTTGTTGTCTTTTACAAATTTGTGTTCAACCTTCATACTTTAGCTTGAATGGAAGCCCATTTCCGCCACCCTGATAAAAAATAAATAAAACTTGTATCTCATAATTATGACTTAGCTATCTCATAATTACGACTTAGCTATCGCATAATTATGAGATACTATCTCATAATTATGAGATAATAGTATCTCATAATTATGACTTAGCTATCTCATAATTATGAGATAATAGTATCTCATAATTATGACTTAGCTATCTCATAATTATGAGATAATAGTATCTC